ATTCACCTCTCGTTTTTGGCAGTCGCTCCAGAAAGCTTTGGGAACTCGACTAGATATGAGCACTGCCTACCACCATCAAACTGATGGCCAAAGCGAGCGAACCATTCAAACTCTAGAAGACATGCTTCGGGCATGTGTAATAGACTTTGGAAGAGCTTGGAATACTCAACTGCCCTTAATCGAATTCTCATACAACAACAGCTACCACACGAGTATAGGAGTCGCTCCCTTTGAGGCCTTGTATGGCCGGAAGTGCAGATCGCCCCTCTGCTGGGCTGAGGTGGGGGACACCCAGCTGGAAAAAGGGAAAACGTCCACAACACGCTCATGGACCCGAGATTATCCGGGAGAAACCATGCAAAAGATAGTCCAAATCCGAGCACGACTCTATGCATCGCGAGACCGACAAAAGAGCTATGCAGATAAAAGGCGAAAGCCTCTGGAATTTCAGGTGGGTGATCGGGTGTTATTAAAAGTCTCCCCGTGGAAAGGAATGATACGATTTGGAAAGAGAGGTAAACTGAATCCCCGATACATCGGACCATTCGAGATCCTTGCACGGATCGGTCCGGTAGCCTACAAACTCCAACTACCCTCCGAGCTCTGTAATGTATACCCTGTATTCCATGTGTCAGACCTAAAGAAGTGCCTATCGGACGAAACCCTCACAGTTCCACTAGATGAGATCGAAGTGAATGAGAACCTTCTATTCATCGAGCAGCCCGTCGAATTTATGGATAAGGAGGTCAAGTGCACGAAACAAAGCCGCATCCCCATTGTGAAGGTTCGATGGGACGCCAAGTGCGGACCGGAATTCACATGGGAACGCGAGGATCAAATGATGCAGAAGTACCCTCATCTTTTCGCTAGTTCGTAGGAATGACTTCTAAAGAATTTCGGGACGAAATTCCCTCTAACGGGGGGATGATGTCACAACTGGAAATTTCCAAGTCTAGAAACCAAGCCAAAAGAGTTCCGTACATGTAATGTTTGTATCTATGCTATTATTATATCTTGGTAATATAATGTTTTTGAGAATTATGTTACCCTAAAGCCGCCTAAGTTGATGAAAAAAATAAGAAGTTTAAATTATGTCAAGTACAAATCACATAAACAACAAAACACACTTATTAAAGCTTTCTACACACCTAGACCATGAACTCTTCCCTAGAAACACACTTTGGCCGTGAACATCTAAGGAGAAGGGACCTAGGCCGTAAACAACTTTCAAGGGGCCACTTAGGCCGTGAACTACTTCCCATAATCTACTTTAGGCCATAAACCCCCTCAAGCCACCAAGCTTTGACCATAAACACCAATCTAGGTGACTATAGGCCGTAAACCCTTCCCCGTGACACCTTTTTGGCTGTAAACTACCCTAGGGAACCTCCTTGAAGCGTAAACCATGGTTCATGGTCCCTCTAGACCGTGAACCTCTCCCAATTCAATGGTGTTCACGATGGATGCAAGCTGTAATGCGTAGATATCCAATCCAAAACACAGTTATTCATGCATTACCCAATAGTAATCAAAGTAAACATCTTATCATTTCCTTAGCCCATATTAGGGACCGTGAACCCCATTTCCTCATTTTACAACTCACAATTGCACTTTGTAAACCAACGAAAACTCTCCCAAGGCTTCATCCAAGTTCAAGAAACATTCTCTTCATCAATCCTCCTAAGTTCTTGTAAGTGTTTTATGTCTAGTAAAGGTTTCATACAATTAGCTATTTTAAACTCCAACTCACACATAAATTTATGTGTTTATAATCTTATACTAGCCAAAATTCTCAAGATGTTCATCCGACACTTCAAGTGTTCTAGGCTTTAACTCCTCATCCCATCTCTTCACCTACACTATCTACTACCCAAGGTGAGCTTCATACCCCTCTTTTGGATGTTTTCATGGTTTTGGGGGAGGATACAAGTCAAGGTCTTTGTTAAAATCATGAAATAATTGCTTGCTAGACATGTATGCCAAGCTATATATGTGTTATATCTTTGAAAACTCCATATGAAATAGTTTCTTGAGTTCGAAATTTGGAAAGATTTAAATGGTAAAACCATAATATACAAATGATGGGAAGAATCAAAACTAGTATGTTTACACTATATGATGTTACAATTTTATGCAAAAACTCCAAAGGGTTTCCTAAAATGTTGCTCAAAACCAAATTGATTAACAAAATATTTGAAAGTGGTTAGAAAATGGAAATAATAATATTTTTGAGGGACCATTTTCAGCCATATGAATTTATAAAGATTATTTTATGTCTATAGGATAAATTTGGGGAATTATTGAATATCCAAATTTTTAAAGGACTAAAAGTGAAACTTTGGATAAACAAGGGCCTTTTTGAATATTTTCATAAATATAAGTTTAAAATGAACATTTTAGAAGGAATGGGCCATTTTTACACATTTCACCAAGTTTTGGCTAGTTATGACAACTTTTGGCAAATATGGGTCTTATTTAATACTTTGTAAAAAGAAGGGCCATTTTTTCCAATACCGATAATATTTGGTCATTTTTGATAAATATGATTTCCAAGTGGATTATCCTCAATAAATGAAATGATAGATTTAATCAACGAGAATAATTACTGTTATTTAGTTAATAAATAATAGAATTTCACGATTTACTCAAAAACCTGTTAGTATTCTAGTCAGACGAATCTCCACAGTACCTAAATATATATATATATATATATATATATATATATATATATATATATATATATATATATATATATATATATATATATATATATATATATATATTAGTGTACATCTAAAGTCCTGTAAAGAGTTATAAGTAGAGTCTCCTGGAGGGAGAACGGGAATTTATGTATAGATCTATATGGGGTTGACGCCCCGCACCTCCGCTGTTCGCTACAGCTAGACCGGCCAGTCTAGGGTGACAAATGTCTTTAATCAAACGCGGGTGCCTGAGAAATGCCAAGACAGGCCTCCGTCATATTAGTATGGTTATAACGACTCATTTAGAATATAACAGTGAATTGTTCGGAAATAAACATATGTTACACCTTTCGACTATAATAACGATTGTTTGGATGCCTTAAACGAAGTATTACCACACAAGTGTTAGGGTTTTAATACTACTATTTTATACATCAGAAAATATAGGATTTTTTGGGGAAAAAGATTTTATACAATTTCGAAAATGATAAACTAACACTCACAAGCAACTATACTTGATTGAAAACAAGACTTACAACTATTTTGATAAGAAAATATTCGATTTTCTGGTTTTCCAAATAACACAGATTTTTATACAAAATGCTTATGAACTCACCAACATATTTTATGTTGACGCTTTTCAAACGACTTGTATTCTCAGGAAATCAGTAAGCAGGTTTGTGAGCCGCAGATGCTGAATTATTTTGATGTATTTTGGAACTTACTCATCAATGTTTCTTTTGTGTAACTCAAAAACATAAATATAATGTTAAACATTGTAAGTTTGTTATATTGATGTATGATGGTTGGATTTGCTATGTTTCATTTATATTCAATTGTTATGATACTGCACAATGAAGTCACCCGCCTCCGGACGTTTCCGCTGCCTGGTCCGGGGGTGTGACACATTAGTTACTCAATACATAAAAACAAGTGACAAATATAGTGGAGTAAAAAAAGTGACAAAAAAGTGTTCAAATGTCATAAATCATCACATGAAGTAAATGTTTATGTCGTTAAGAACCGGACCGGTTCGGAACCGGAACCGGTTTTCCTATATTATAAGAACCGGGAACTGGACCGCCGGTTGTAGTGTCGGTTCCGGTTCCGGTCCTGGTTTTTTCAGTTATTTTTCAAACTAGAACCGGTTGAAATATTATAAATGATATGTTATCTTCCGGAGTTTGTAAAATGATTCAATATTTTACCAAATTATGACTTTTTACATTCTAAATTTAAGTGCAAACACTAAATAACCCGATGAAAAAAGAATCAAGTAATTCCGACTTCATATGAATGAGTTATGTGCATTTTAAAAGCGGGACAGATTCTAAAAAAAATGTTGAAACAAAAATTAGGCAACATTGATATGCTGTCTTCCGGGGTCTATAACTGATTCAATATCTAACCAAAATATGTGTTTTTATAGTCTAAAATGAAGTACAAACACCAAATTACATGCTGGAAGAAAAATTAAATAATTCTGATGTCATATGAATGAGTTATGCACATTTAAAAAAATGGGACAGATTCAAAGAAAAAATGTTGAAATAGAAAAAACGCAGCATCGATATTCTTTCTTTCGGGGCATGTGTCTGATTCAATATCTAACCAAAACATATGTTTATACAGTCAAAAATAAATTACAAACTCCAAATTACATGTTGGAAAAAAATCAACTAACTTTGATTTCATATGTAAAAACGGGAAAAATGTCAAACCCGTTCCGGTTTTTAGAATCGGGACCGGTTTTCATAAAAATTGAGAACCGGTAACCGGACCTTATTACCGATTCTGGTTCCGGTTCTGGTTCGGTACCGGTCCGGTTCCGATTCTCGCGGTTCTAATGCTCATCCTTAATTTTTACTATGTAGTTTTTAAAAACCAAACAGACCAATCATAAATTTTTTTATTATAATCATTACAAATAACACAATTGCTTTGGTTATATATTAATAACAAATTACTAAATAAGGATAGGAAAAATATAATCTTTTAAACCTCTTTAGTTATATAAATAAAAAGTTTCAATTGATTTCTTGTAAATATACTAAATGAGCCTACATAATATCCTCTGATTTGATTGTGATGGAAGACAAATTGAGATTGTTCTTTTCACTTGAATAGAACCCTTATTGGATTTGCATACCTATTCTGATGCCGCCATTGTGCACGCAATTGTAATTTTATTGTGTGGCTATCATGCATCCAAATCCAACACACTATTATCCATTTATCTTTACGTGTATGTAGTCAATATAACCAAAACTACTACTAGAGGTTCGTAGAATCTAAAAGATGGCACTGTTTTTTCTGTTTCTTCTTGTGTGTGTTCCTCTCCTATCTCTCCTCTACCTTCTTTCAAAAATCATCAAAAACAGATCATGTTCATATCCGCCAGGCCCTCATGGGTTACCCTTCATCGGAAACTTGCACCAGATCGATTACTCGAGCCTCCATACTTTCCTATGGCAACTCTCTAAATCCTACGGCCCAGTCATATCTCTTCAATTCGGTTTCATTCCAGCTATCGTTGTTTCTTCTGCGAATGTAGCGAAAGAAGTCTTGAAAACCCAAGATATCATCTTTTGCAATAGGCCTTCATTTGTCGGGTCAAAAAAGTTAAGTTACAATGGCCTTGATGTAACTTTTTCTCCCTATAACGACTATTGGAGAGATATGAGAAAGGTTTATATGTTTCATTTGTTGAGCCCCAAAAAAGTAGAATCTTTTAGGTATATTCGTGAAGACGAGGTCTCAAGTACCATGAAGAAGATATATGAGCTAGCTCTTTCGTCTAAGACGGTAAACCTGAGCGAAACTATGAAGCATGTGGCCATTACTTTAGTGACAAGAGTGGGTTTTGGGAAGAGTTATCAGGATGAACATGAAAGAAAAAAGGTCCTTCGACTACTTAATGAACTTCAATCGATAACGGCAGAATTCTTTGTTTCAGATCTTTGGCCTGGTCTTCCTTTTGTGGGTTTGGTTGATAGGTTATTGGAAAGATGGATCGGGTAGAAAAATGCTTCAAAAGTCTTGATTCATTTTACGAAGAACTCATTCGTGAACACCTCGACCCTCAAAACCGAAAGTCTAACGAGGAAGAAGAGGATATTGTTGACATTCTACTCCGACTTAAGAAAGACAAAGATTTCAATTTCACTTACGACCACATTAAAGGCATGCTCGTGGTAATCATTACTTGCTCATTTTATTGGTTGGATTAGTGGTCATTATTTCACAAGATTTCCATTAACCATCAACTTTGATTTTCATATGACCCATGAAAACTTATCATAATAAACGTTTGATAAATTTTAATCACATCGAAAGTTTTTTTAAAACTCTGAATCCAATCAAAATTACAGATTTTGTATAACAAGGGTAGTATTTTAATTTTTCTATTCATAGTATATAAACTATAATATATAAACTATGTTATAACTTTTAAATTAAGCATCCATAATGCTTAGTTTTAATGAAAAGTTGAATGAGATGATATGTTGAATTGTAATTGACATTCAATGGCTTCAACTTTATCACTATGAGATGTCATTATGTCAATAAAAAAGTGAAATTTTTTAATTAAATTATACTTTTGATTAATGAGTAATTATTTAAAACATTATATATATATATATATATATATATTACTATATATATATATAGATATATATCATATAGATAATATCTATATTAGAAAAAGTTAATATTATATATAATTTAAAATAAATACATACTATTTGTGTGTAAACACATTTGTAAGTGTTAATAAAATCATTTCAAATTTTAACAGTCCGTTGTAAATCCGTCGGTAAGGCCGTCTCCGACAGAGTACCGACAGATACCGCCTATCGGTGCCTCCTTTTTCTAGTAGTGTATATTGATGAACCAAATTCAATGAAGTAATTTAATTTGTAGTATATACCAGTTTTGTGGTAATTTAAAACTTAATTTATAACTGATAAACTACTATCTAAAAGTAATGACAACCCCAAAGGCAAGTGAGTGGTATGGGTTCTGTAATATGACTTGGAAATTAGTGTGATAAAAGGAGTGGCCTCCCCCAGCCACTCTTGTGTTCCTGCCATTAATATATGGTCCTTGATTGGAGTAAGGTGAATGAAAGTATATAACTAATTATTATATGGTCCCTACTTCATAACTTATTCACAAACACACCTTTTTTTTGGAAAACTAAATTATATATAACCTACCCCACCTTTTGCATAACCATTTCTATAACCACCATTCACACGACAATAATGAAACGTAGTCCACTTCATCAATATGGTTCTATTTTTCATGTATATTTAAACTTGTTAATTATGCCTTAGCGTTTAATTAAGGTATTGTTAAGGATCTTTTAATGGTAGATTAACCTTTCACTCTATGCTCTCTTGGTTCCAACGCCTGATTATTGTGTTAGGATATCTTGGTAGCTGGGACAGATACTAGTGCTGCTACAGTGATTTGGGCAATGACAGCATTAGTAAGCGACCCAAAGGTAATGAAGAAAACACAAGAAGAAGTGAGAAACGTAGTTGGAAAGAAGGGTAGAGTTGATGAGGATGATCTTTCAAAGCTCACCTATTTGAAGGCAGTTGTAAAAGAGACCCTAAGGTTATATCCTCCGGCTCCTCTTTTAGTACCTCGAGAAAGTCAGAAAGATGTCAGTTTACAAGGCTACAAAATCAAGAAAAAAACCGTAGTTTACGTGAATGCATTTGCCATTGGAAGGGACCCTGAAGCTTGGGAGAACCCAGAGGAATTTTTACCAGAGAGGTTTTTGGGTAGTGATATTGATTTTAGAGGGAATAATTTTGAGTTCATTCCATTTGGAGGTGGTCGAAGAATTTGTCCTGGAATGTCGATGGGTGTTGTGACAGTGGAGTTATTGATTGCTAATCTTGTTTACTTGTTTGATTGGGCTTTGCCCGATGGCATGAGGAAGGAAGACTTGGACTTTGAGGCGATGGAAGGAATAACCATGCATAAGCGGAATGATCTTTTCCTTGTAGCGCATATGTACTTGTAAAATATTGCATTATAAACATGGTTTAGTGGTGATCATTTTGTATCTGTAAGTGGTCAGCCCAAAGATCTTAGCTTGAGTTGACTTGGGTCAGCCCAACTGTTTTGGGTTAAATGACCCAGTTAATAGCCCAATGTTTGTAGGCCCATGTATGTTTGCTTATATGCTGATTTCAGCTGTAGAGAGAGACAGGAACGTAAGTTTTGTAACAGGGGCAAAAGAGTGAGGTAAAACTAGCTTCTTAACCTAATACAAAAGTTTTCTCTCTTCTGTGGATGTAAGCAGGTTATTACTGAACCACGTTAAATCTGTTGTTCTTCATTCTTTATTTTACTTTTCTTTATCTTGGTATTGTCATTGCTTGTTCTTGGGTCTAAGGGCAAAACGGGAATACAAAAGCAGAAGGCTTAATTGCTGGCAGATTTTGTAATTTTTTTGCATTGTTTTGCTGAAGCAACAATTGGTATCAGAGCTTAATATCAAACCCGGGTGGTAGAGCTCAGATTTGAGGTATTTAGGTGGTATTTTGTGTTCTGCACACAAGGTGTTCGATAAAAGTCCTAAGAGAGGCAGATTCTGAAACAAGCGGGTAAATGGCATCTACAAGCGGAACGGTTAAAGTTGGGAAGTATGAATTAGAGAAGTTCAACGGGAAGAATGATTTTTCTTATTGGAGGATGCAAATGAAAATTTTATTAATCTCACAGAAGTTACACAAGGCTTTGGCGGGTAAGACAAAGAAGCACAAAGATATGTCCGATGAGGATTGGGAGGAGTTAGATCTTGAAGCACGAGCATCGATCATTTTATGCCTTGAAAGGGATGTTGCTTTCTTCGTTGGTAATGAAGAATCGGCAGCTGCGGTATGGGAAAAGTTAGAAGCAATCTTCATGACGAAAACTCTAACAAACAGGATCTATTTGAAGTCCAAATTGTTTACTTGCAAAATGGATGAAGGTTCTTCAATCCGGGAACACATCAGTAAATTTGATAGGTGTATATCAGATTTAAAAGACATTGATGTGAAGGTAGAAGATGAGGATCAAGCACTTTTACTACTTCTTTCGTTGCCAAAGTCTTATGAAAATCTTGTACAAACATTGATGCTTGTGGGTGACAGTCTTACGATAGATGAGACTAGAACGTCAATTCTAGCGGATGATCTTCGAAAGATTGCAACCGGTGACATGGCTGCTGCTAGTGGTAACAAAGACCAGACACAAGGATTGTTTGAAAGAGGTAGAAGTAATGAGAGAGGAAAAGGCAAAGGAGGAAAGTCTAGATCTAAATCTAGAACTCTTGCTGAAAGGCGATGTTTTAAGTGTGGCGAGCTTGGACATTTCAAAGCAAACTGTCCTAACAAGAGAGTAGGATGGAACAAAGAAAAGAACAACAACAACAACAACAACAACAACAACAAAGGAAATGCACAAGAGAAGCAAGAAGCTAGTTATGCCTCGGGAGAAGAAAGCAATGATGAGTGTTACTTTGCCACTTCTGATGAAGAAATCTCTGGTAAATGGATTATTGATTCAGGTTGCTCGTACCATATGTGCCCAAATAGGAAGTGGTTTACTAACTATAGGAGCATAGATGGTGGAACCGTGGTAATGGGAAATAACCATTCCTGCAAAACGGTTGGGCTCGGTTCTGTTAGAATCAAAATGCATGATGGAGTGGTTAGAACTTTATTGGATGTGAGACATGTTCCTGAGTTGCGAAAGAATCTCATCTCTGAAGGTGTATTGGACTTCTGTGGGTGTAAGATAGTTACATGGGAAGGAGTAAAGAAGGTTGTTCGTGGTTCTTTGGTTGTAATGAAAGGTATTCGTCAAGGAAACCTTTACGTTCTTTCAGGTACGACTGTGACAGATGGTGCAGCAGTTGGAACAAATGGTAGTGGTGGTGACCCATGTGAAAGCACTCGGTTATGGCATATACGGCTTGGGCATATGTCCGAAAAGGGTCTTGATTTGCTTGGTAAAGAAGGTTTGTTGAAGAACTTGAAGAAGCCTTGCATGGATTTTTGTGAGCATTGCGTGTACGGTAAAGCACATCGGGTTCAGTTCAAAAATCAAGCAAACACAAAAGCAGAGGAATTTTAGACTATGTGCATACAAATGTTTGGGGTCCAGCTTCAGTCACTTCCAAGGGAGGTTCCAGATATTTTGTCACTTTTGTGGATGATCATTCTAGGTATATTTGGATTTACTTTCTGAAACACAAGAATGAGGTATTTGACACGTTTAAGAAGTGGAAAGCAATGGTTGAGAACAGAACAGGCAAGAAATTAAAGACACTTCGATCTGATAATGGTACAGAGTATACAGAAGGTGCCTTCAAGAAATTTTGTGATCATGAAGGAATTGCTAGACATTGGACGGTCAGAAAAACACCACAGCAGAATGGAGTCGCAGAGAGGCTGAATCGTACATTGCGAGAGAGATCAATGTGTATGCGATCATATGCTGGTTTGGGCAGAGAATGGTGGGCAGAGTCAGTTGCTACAACTTGCTACATTATCAATCGGTCTCCTCATGCATCTCTAGATGGAAATGTACCCTATAGGGTATGGTCAGGGGAACATGCAGATTATGAGAAACTCAGAATCTTCGGGTGCACAGCCTATTATCATGTTAGTGAGGGAAAGCTTGAAGTAAGAGCCAAGAAGGCAATTTTCTTGGGATATGCATCAGGGTGTGAAAGGCTATCGTCTTTGGTGTTTGGAAGATTCCAAGTTTATAATCAGCAGAGATGTTACTTTTGATGAGAACTCCAATGTAGCTTCTTTAAAAGCTACGGTCCCTAATGGTGATGACATTGAGATGGTCAAGTCTCAAGTAGTTGATATAGAACCTAAAAGCCAACAAGGTTCTAGTCGTGTTCACGAGGAAGATCATGATGGTATTCACGATGATATTGAACATGAGACGGTTCAGCAAGAAAATGTACACGAACCAGAGGAACAAGAGCTCAGGGACAATTCGGTTTCTACTAGGCCGAGGCGAGCATATAAGAAAGTTCAAAAGTTGGGTTTTGATCAACCCTTGAAACACTACGGACATGCAAGTTTGGTTGAGTATGCACTCTCGATGGAGGAAGATGAGCCGGTCTCCTTCAAGGAAGCTATTCAGAATGGCAATAATGAGAGTTGGTTGGCTGCTATGGAAGAAGAGATGAAGTCTCTTCGAAAGAACCAAACTTGGGAGGTGGTCCCATTACCCGTAGGAAAGAAAGCTATTGGTTGTAAGTGGGTGTACAAGAAAAAGGAGGATTCTTCAGAACTCGGTGGTACAAGGTACAAGGCAAGATTAGTAGCAAAGGGGTTTGCACAAAGAGAGGCAGTAGACTACAATGAGATATTTTCTCTGGTGGTGAAACACACTTCTATCCGAGTATTGTTGAGTATTGTTGCTCATGGTGATTTGGAGTTGGAACAACTCGATGTAAAAACCGCTTTCTTGCACAGAGAATTGGATGAGGAAATCTATATGCATCAACCTGATGGATTTAAGGTTGTTGATAAGGAAAGTCAGGTATGTCGGTTGAGGAAATCACTATATGGATTGAAGCAATCTCCTCAACAGTGGTACAAGCGGTTTGACTCTTTCATGCTGAAGCATGGGTTCTCCAGAAGCCTGTATGACTGTTGTGTTTACATGCGGAAGCTTCATGGAGGTGATTATATTTATTTTCTTTTGTATGTGAATGACATGCTTATTGCTTCGAAGAGCAAGGTGGAGATAGACAGGCTAAAATCTCAACTTGGTAAAGAGTTTGAGATGAAGGACATGGGAATTGCCAAGAAAATATTGGGTATGGAGATTAGAAGAGAGAGGACGAAACATCGATTGTTCTTGAGCCAAAAAGGCTACATTGAGCGGGTCATTGCGAGGTTCGGGATGCAAGATGCCAAGCCAGTGGTGACTCCATTGGCTCCACATTTTAAGCTCTCTAGTAGACAATCTCCTTCTACAGCAGAAGATAAGACGTACATGGGGCGTGTGCCTTATGCCAGTGCAGTCGGCAGTCTGATGTATGCCATGGTGTGTACACGTCCAGATATTTCACAGACGGTCAGTGTGGTCAGCAGGTTCATGGCGAACCCAGGGAAGGCACATTGGGAAGCTGTGAAATGGGTCTTGAGATATTTGAAAGGAACCACTGATATTGGTTTATGCTTTGGTGGAAATACTTGTCGAATTACTGGATTTGTGGATTCAGACCATGCTGGTGATCTAGATAGATGTCGATCTACTACTGGTTATGTGTTCAAAATACATGGTGCTCCAGTTAGTTGGCGATCGATGCTACAAGAAACAGTAGCGTTTTCTACTACAGAAGCTGAGTATATGGCTATAACAGAAGGTGTAAAGGAAGCACTGTGGTTGTGCGGTGTTTTAGATGATTTGGGGTTTGAGCAAGATTGTGTAGACTTGTGGTGTGATAGTCAAAGTGCAATTCACTTAGCTAAGAATCAAGTTTATCATGCTCGTTCCAAACATATAAATGTCAGATATCATTTTGTGCGGGATGTCATAGAAGAGGGTGATATTTCTCTTATGAAGGTGCACACTGATGAGAACCCAGCAGACATGTTAACCAAGGCGGTACCAGGTGGCAAGTTTAAGCATTGCTTGAACTTGCTTAATATTAATCAGTGTTGATTGCCCTTGAGGGCAAAAACATTGCCGGGCGGTGTCAGGGTGAGGTGGAGTTTTCACCCGGTGAAGTGAACTACGGTGGCTTGATCCCAGATGTGGGTACGTAGGCAACCATGGTCAAATGGTGCAGCCAGATTGAGTTCTTCATATCAGGGTGTGCAATTTCTTCTTTGGTGTATCGTCCAAAATTTGAGGTCTATCAAATGTTGTTCGAGGTGGAGAATTGTAAGTGGTCAGCCCAAAGATCTTAGCTTGAGTTGACTTGGGTTAGCCCAACTGTTTTGGGTTAAATGACCCAGTTAATAGCCCAATGTTTGTAGGCCCATGTATGTTTGCTTA